TCACCATCTTATGAGACTCTAATGCCACTGCATTAGATCTAACAGGAGGACAGATAATGGTCCCAAACCTGGGATTTGGGGACTATCTGGTCTACAAGACTGGTATGTCCCAGAAACAGACTATTCTTTTAGACTTCATCTTCAAAATAAAGATGACATAGAACAGAGCCATAGGCTGTCTGCTATAAATATAAAGGCTGAATTAAACCTCTGTTCTTTACCACAGAGATAATGGGACGATTTATTGTGACAAAATAATTCAGTCTAAGATGGGTAGATATTTCATAAATGTTGAAGAAAAAAGGAAGGTTATAGAGGCCTAGAATAAAAAATAATTCGAGTCAATTTTGTTTTAAACAAGAACTATCTGTTGAAAAGAAGGAAGAATTAAGCTTTCATGAGTTTCTAATTATGAGAAATCATGGGAATTGGGGTTGAAAGGAGAAAGGGAAAGAGTAGATTGTAGAGGAGAGTATATTTTTGGTAATGCAATCTTGGGAAGAAATAAAAGTGAATTCTTGCTAGATTAGCATGTCCTTAAGATGTCTGTATGGAATATTTAAAGTATTCTAAGTATCTGCTAGTGAGGTGTTTTGAGAATCCAGTACATATGTATAAAGATTTATCCTTTAGTTAAACCAAGCTAAGTAAGTTAAGAATGCTTTTTCTATTTTAAATGTCAAAGTTGCTCTGCTTCTATAGCCAAAGAATGACTACAAACCTGACTAAAACAACATCCAGATTAAGGCTATATGTAATTATAGCCAATTCTTACTATTCACAGGGATGATCTGTAAACATCCAGCAAACACTAAATCAGTGAAAATGACCATTACTCCTAGAGGAAATACAAGCTTAGGTTGCTGTGAGCCTTTGTTCACAACATATTCATCAACTAGTCAAAACATAACCTTGCTTTATGTATGTTCTTTTTAAAGACACCTTATTTAATATATCCGTTGATTCACTAACTTTGAACTTACAGCAACAGAACTTTATTCATACATCTGATTTAACATGTGTATTGTCTATGTACAGTTATCCCTAGTCCCTCGACAGTTACAGAACATTGGTTCCAGCACAATTCCTCCCCTCACCCCACCAACACCAAAATCTAAAGATGCTTAGGGCCGGGCGCAGTGGCTCACGCCTGTAATCCCAGCACTTTGGAAGGCCGAGGCGGGTGGATCACGAAGTCAAGAGATCGAGACTATCCTGGTCAACATGGTGAAACCCCGTCTCTACTAAAAATACAAAAAATTAGCTGGGCATGGTGGTGCATGCCTGTAATCCCAGCTACTCAGGAGGCTGAGGCAGGAGAATTGCCTGAACCCAGGAGGCGGAGGTTGCGGTGAGCCGAGATCGTGTCATTGCACTCCAGCCTGGGTAACAAGAGTGAAACTCCGCCTAAAAAAAAAAAAAAAAAAAAAGAAGAAGAAGAAGATGCTCAGGTTTCTTAAATCAGATAGTTGAGTTTTTGCATGTAACCTATACATACCTCCATTACAGTTTAAATCATCTCTAGATTATTATCCCTGATATAACATACATGTTATATAAATACTGTCTTGTTTTTATTTGTATTATTTTTATTGTATTATTATTTTTCCAAATATTTTCAATTAATGATTGATTAAATCCATGGATATGGAACATACAGTTATTAAAAGCTGACTGTTTTTTCTATGTATATTATAGCCATTTTGTACTTAGAAACACTAGATAATACATCAGTATTATTCTTGGAGGCCAGGTTAAACAGTAAAATCACCAACAAAAAACACAAATATGCAAAAGATGGCACTAAATACATAGTGAAAAGGACACTTGTTTGTAATATGAGAACTTAAACAAGAAAGCAGAGAGTCACTGTTTTCAACGAACCTCACATGGAGACATGCACTTCAGAAGTCTCAAATATGTACCACTCTGTGCATGCCCATGAATGACTGCAAAAATGCCACCAATATTCATTCTGGTATTGCAAATAAACTTCAGCAAGTAGTTAAATTTGTAAATGCAGAATCTGTAAAAACAATGATCCACTGTGTGTCGAAACAGCTGGAAAGAAAGCAATCCAATGGATTATGAGGAGGTGGGCGAAATGCCTGCTACTGAGAAGAGGGAGAAATTGGATGGATAAATAGTAAGTCTAGCAAAGTGCCTTAAATGTGGTTGATTTTCAGTAAATGTTACTTTCTTTTCCTGTCTTTATCCCTTTGTTTTCTCTTGCTTTGGTAAAATACATGTCACCTAAAGAATTAAAACGGTACCAGAATATTGAAGGTCCACTCTACCAAAGTAATAGAAAGCATTTTCTTAGCATTTCATTTTACTGCTGAATTTACTAAATCATACTTAGAGATGCTCTGTCATCTTAATGTAAATCTTAAAAGCATGTTTATGTAAAAATGTTAATATTTAGCCAGTGTTGAATTATCTTTTATGGCATTAACATAGAAGATATTATCCAAAAATTTAAATAGAATGACCCTGTTTTGTCACATAGATATTGGGATTTTCTGCTTCCACACTCACTTCTTTATGATTTATATTTTGCTATTAATTGGAAACATCTGAAACAAAAATTATTTTAAACTCACAAATCTAACTTATAAGAATAATAAAACATCATAGTTTTCTAAATTTTTTAACTTACAGAAAAGATATATACCTAAAAAAAGAGAGAGAGAGAAATTACATGATTAGTGATGACTTAATTATCACTCTCATCCTGACAGTTTTCTTTTATGGAAATATCACCTGCAAAAAGGTTTATCAAGACAAACTTTTTACAATCCCCATTAAATTCATTGAATGAACGGTGAAGGGTAAATTGGAGCCATTATAATCTTACATTTCTTATGTAATATTCATAATCACAGTGTTACATAAAAGCGAGCTAATGTTAACAAAAGGAGCAATTTAAATTTCCACTTCCTTGGAGAATGGGGCTCTGCTTGACAAACAGAGCTTCCTGTCCCCTTTGCAACACGCCCACGAAGCTCCTCGAGTGCCAATGAGACCCACACTCTCATCTCAGTGATATAATAAACCCTCCAAAACAGAGGAGAAAATGAGGCAAACAAGCCCACTTCATTTCAACTTGTCAGCTTTAAATAAAATATTCTGGAGCTGAAAATGGGAAACTTGAGGGAAGATAATGTGTGAAGTAACCAAATTCAACATTGGGACGAAACATACTACAGTACTACTTTTTTTCTTGATCTGCCACAAAAAGTTTTTGAAATTTCACTATAGGTAACTTTTAATGAAATATCTTTTTATTAAGGAGGACTTAGAGGAAGAGAAGTGTTCCTTTTGTTTATTTTTTCCCTTCTCTCCACCCCGCTGATGCCTTAGCTAATATCGCAAGTCATCTCAAGCCCTTATTATATCTTAATGAGTAATCTGTGACCTTTGGAATAACTCCCAATTATCAATATTTATATCAGAGTTGGTACAGCAGAGCATACTGGAAAAAGTGCATGCTTTCTTTATAATTGTTAATTATTTACATAATACTTTCTTGGTGCTGATTTTTTATGCAAAATATTGGACCATGCTTTCTGCATAGAAAAAAAAATGTTAAGGGTAAAAATGCATTGAAAGGAAAGTAAAAATAAATTAACATTCTGTTAAATGGAAATATTTGAATATCACTGAAATAAGCAGTGATTGGTAGTGCAAATCTCTTCCTACATCCTCTCCCCAGTACCCACTGCTCTTATCCCCAGCTCACTTCCTAACACTTTCTTCCTGCCTTGCACTTAGGATACTCTAGTCTGTTATTCCCCTTAATTCTGTCCATATTCCTTCTCTTCTCTCTTCAAAGTTACTTGTGATTTAGTCAAATTTTTCCTTTCCTCATACTTCCGTAATGAGCACTTACATTTCTTCCAGGGATACATAGTACCACTGGGTCCCAGCAGACAGGCAGCAAAAGCTGTGTATATCCCAAAGCCAGTGAAGAAGGGCAAGTCAGTTTCCTTCTTTCTTAGATGCTCTAGGTTGTACCCAAATTTTATACAAGCATCTTTTCATGAGTTTTTTTTTTACTTCCAATACTATGTTTCATATATTTTCAAAATCATTATAAAAGACTTTTTCTTATTTGTTATACTCTCCTATAGCATTATAATATGAACCCTCTGATTTCAAATCCTTTTATCATAACATTCCCAAATAACGTTGAGTGATCAGTGCAAGAATGATGTTTATGTTGAGGAATATGATCCCTTCACCATTTTTGATGGCACACTGTTCAGAAGTTCTTTTGGGCACTCGAATATAAAATGTGATTTCAGGTGTACATTTTAAAATATATTTTACAAATTCCATGGGATAGGAAAGAGTGTGTAGACTATGGACTACAGAGATTTCAATTTGAGGCTTGGCAAATCAACATTTAATAGAGTGACCCTAATCAGCAAAGAGTTTTTTTAAGCCTCTCTATTATTCACTTATAAAATACAAACAAAAATGTTGTGTTGCAGGATGATTAAATTAATACTAGGTATGTTTGGAGGATATTTTTGATTCTTATTTTATGACCATTATAATTATTATAAAGCCAAAAAAGGTATTTAAAGTTAACTTGACCTGGCTATTAAATGTCCATTAAATATGTGAATTATATTATGCAGCTTCCATGTGTATAAGTATGGAAGCTGCATAATATCATCATTCACATATATACTATATTTTGTAACCAGTAAAATTCTGCCAGAAGCTCTAGGTTATTCTCTGCAGTTTAAGGTCTGCAGTTTAAGTGAGGCTAGTGCCTTTTAGCAATCTTAAACCCAAAGTATCCATGGTTTTATTGTAGGTTTTATTCTAACAAGCTGCTATATCAATAATCACCTCAGTGTAATATAGGACCATCATGTGGTCTGAAGTGTCTATTTAATGATTAATCCTGTCAAAAGGAAAGGAAATGGACTCAATTGCTTAGGAGGTATCTGTTCTAAGCTGAGGGGTTTTTTTTTGTTTCCCCACAGTGATGGCTGGGCTGACAGGTATGATGTGACAGATGGATATCAGCGAGAAGCTGTTGGTGGAATCACAATCAAGCTCCAATCTCCCGATGTCAAGTGGTTTGATGATTATTATCTGAAGCTCCGGCCAGAAACAAACCACCGAAACCCATGGTTTCAAGAATTTTGGCAGCATCGTTTTCAGTGCCGACTGGAAGGGTTTCCACAGGAGAACAGCAAATACAACAAGACTTGCAATAGTAAGCAGATTTATTGTTTCATTTAAAGTGCATAAGGCTAAAGCTCCAATTTAAGTAAACCATGTCATGGGGATAGTGCCTGTAATTTGTTAGAGGGGATATCACCATAAGTGGCAATATCTACTCTACTTATGTATCTTATGTAGATAGAGTAGATATTGCCACTTATGGTGATATACAGGTTTTAGTTTCATTAGGAAACACATATCAGAGAAAGTATTTTAGTAGTATTTTATGTGATTAGATCCTTTCTATTTATATCATCCAAAAAATTGAATGTGTTTCTGTAAGGCATTGTGCTAAAAAGATCATGTGAGCTCCAGAATGGGACTATTTCTGACATCTTTGAATGCAATGACTACATTCTGCTCATTTCTATTATCCAGAGGAGTTACCACAGTGGAAGCACATAGTAATGGTTTTATATATGTACAAAGAATGAACAAATGAGCGTTGAAGGACAGATCCAATTGCTACTTCCATCAATAAACCATAAAATAGTACCAGGGATTTGCTATATATAATTGTGATGTTTCAGGAAATGTAACTTAAGTAGAGTAATTCATTCAATCATTCAACAAATAAGAGGCTAAGAAGGTACAAAATATTGCTTTAGTTGTAAGAATACCAGGATGGAGAAAGCTAGTTCCTGCCTTCAAAGGCTTACTCTCTTGGAATGGACATAGTAATGCCAAGAAAAATAGCAATTAAACATTATAATTGATATGGTAACTAAGGGTTTAAAATTAGAGCTTGGGTTAGTATTATTTGTAACATGTCCAAAAGGAATCTTGACTCTAATAACCAGGTAGAGCCAGCATACACTATCTATATCTATATCTATGTCTATATTATCTCTCTAATATCTGTGCCTGCAAACGTTAAAGTTTGTTAAAATTGATAAAGGATTTTTTTTGGGGGGGGGAAACTGACTTATCCTACATTGTGTAATAAGAAACCCATATGCATCTGCATAGGAGGAAAATGCAAATTGAACACGGAACATGTTCAAATTTTTGAATGATATAAATATTAATAAATTATCTAAAATCTTACTAGAGTAAATACTTGCTCTGATCTGTTGTTGTTAGTTGGTGATACAGGTGCCTTTATCCATGGTGCTGGAATATCAGAATCCATTAGAGCAGTGGGCTTGAAATCCTGGTCCATTGACCAATTCTAGTCCACAGAGAGTTTGTCACATACCAGCAACAAAATGGTAAAAATAGAAACAATGTAGTGAGCTATTAATAAAGCTTTCTCCCTCTGAGGTCATGTTCATCCTGTGTTTCTGGTATCAGTTTGTTCTTTTAGGAAACAATGGAAATAGAAAACAGTGCTTTGTGATTGTTTTAAAATATAATTGCTTTGTAAAACAAGCACCCAGCAATCCTATATCAGTTCCTATTTGGGTAGAAGGGGAAGGGAAGAATGCTAGAGTGTGGGATAATATACCTGTGAATGAAGTCCAGAAATCATTGCAACATAGTGTGAAAGTATGTTCGCTTCTTTCCCACTTCAGATCCTGCTATGTCCAAAATCTTCAAATGCTTACTCATTTCCTTTGTTTTTATTTTTTATGGCAAAATATGTGAGAAAAATAGCATTGTCACTTATGGCTCATAATTTCAAATTTGTATCTAATTAGTATTTTAACAGTTCTATCTACTTTCTGAAGAAAACAAACTTGTTTCCTCTAGGAATTTGGGGAGCATATGTCCTTCTGTGGTCTATTCTATGTTTGTGTACTTCTTAGTATGTGTAGCTTCATTGGAGGATTTATAAAAGGTATCTCATCTCCAGTTCCTCTTTATGAAGAATTAGTGACAACACTAACCAGAGTATTTAAGGAAATTTTTCCAGTTGATCTGCACCCTCTTTCTTTACTAATTTCTTCTTTTCCCACTGCTTTTTATCAGAAATGTCTCCTCCTAAAAATAGTTCTTTGTTTCTCTGACTCTTTATTTGCTGGAAGTCCTGATTAAAAGTCTTGAAAACTTTAATTGATTTACATGAAAATATCATTTCTATGGAAACCATTCTGTAAAATCCTTCCTTGAACTTGCTGCTGTAGCTCTCTGTCTCTCAAGTGAGCACCTTCGTGTGATCTCTCTCCTCAGAATCTGTTCTTTACTGCAGTCATGGAAAGTGCCATTTAGTCTCCCAACTTGGGATCTTATCTGACAATAGATGTCATTTGGTATATAAGCATGGATACTTTATATGTAGTACCTCTGTTATACTTCTGAAAGAGGGATGTATATTATTATCCTCATTTAAAGCTAACGAAAGCATGATTTAAAGAGACAAAATAACTTCCTCCAGTCACGTAACTCCTAAGCACTGAAACTTAAAATTGAACTCAGATTTATCTAGAGTTTAACCAATCTGCTAGACTAAACAAATTGAATATAACAGATTTAATAATCACCATCAAATCTGCATTATATAATAGTCAATATATAGGTCAAAGATAGAAGGAAAAATAATTCTTAGAATTATTTATGTCTTACCATAAAGTGCAATAAAATAAATACTCACTACTCTCTACTTTTAATTCTAGTTCCTTATGTAATCCAGTGTCCACTGAGCATTTCATCCCTATCACGTATGAGAGTTTAAGTTGCTTCACCCCCTTGTTAATACGTGTTTCTTCTTTGGTATTTTTGACCATCTGTGAGTGTGTAGCTCTATCATATTGTGATTTCATTTGGCTTTTTCATGATGTATTTCAAAGTTAAGGTCCTTTTCATATGTTTTTGGAAAGCTGGTATCCTATCGTGTCTGTTCAAGACTTTTGAACATTCCTCTGAGTTTATTATCTTTTTAATACTATAAGAGTTCCTCAAATAGTATTGATATGAGTCCTTTGTCAGCTATATTTATTATAAAATTGCCAAATCAGGAGTTTGGCTTTTTTATTATTTTACTGTATCTCTCATTTGCTACTTGTTTTCTTTTTGTCCAATTTGTTATTTAATTCTTTACTCTTCTGTCTTTTCTTTGTTTTGTATTAATCAACAATTTTTATTATTCTATTCTCTCTTAACATTTTTTGTTTTATCTCTTTGTATAATTTATTTGGAGTTTTCACTAGAAATTACCAAATGAGTCCTTAGTTTAAAACAGACTATTTTAAGTTCTTATTCACATTCAAGAAGCTTGCAAGTATTTAACTCTATATACCCCTTCACAATTTTTTTTGTGCAGTTGCCATATAGTTTACTTTTATATATACTCTATGTACCAAATGACTCTGGTATAATTGTAGCCACAGATGATCAATCATTTTGTAGTTATTGAGGCTATTCTTCATTCCTTCTTGTACTTCCATGCTTTCATCTATCATTATTTCAGCCAAAAAAAATTCCTTTAGTATGTCTTATGTATGCAGATCTACTGTCAAGAAGTTGTTCTAAAATTTTTTCTGAGAAAATTTTTATTTCATCTTTAATTTTTAGAAGATAGTTTCACTTAATATAACATTCAATATTGGCAGGCTTTGTTTTGTTTTCTTGCTTCATTCTTATTTTTTCTTAAAAAAATGACATTTCATTTTCTTCTAGATTTTGTGATTTCACTTGAGAAGCTAGCCATCATTCTTAATGTGTTTCCCCTGGTGGCAATATCGCAATATGTCTTTTTTAAAGAATTTTAAAATTGTATATATATATTTTTAAGTTTTAGTGACCACGATGAACTTTGGTTTAATTTCCTCTATATATTATTTTCTTACAGTTTCCAGAGCTCCTTAAAGCTGTAGAATAAAGACTTGCATCAGTTAAAAAAATTTTCCCTTAATCATTCCTTCTGCTGCATTTCTCTCTCTTCTCCTTCTACTACCTAATTACACCTCTGTTAAGCCGTTTGACCATGTCACACACATATGACTTACTTTCTGGATAGTCTTTTCTCTTTCCTCTCTATGAATCAGAAAGAAAATTTGGTCTATATCTTGAGGAAAAGGCCAACTAAAGTGTGAGGAATCTTCATTCCTCAAGTGAGCTTTTCTTATAAATATTACAAAACAATATGAGATCTAACTCTCTCTCTTCAAAATCTTGAGCCTCTCATGTAGCCCCCAGAATCAGCAAGCGAATCATGGAAGAAAATGTTTCCATGCTTTTAGGGCTCCTGGAATTTATAAAGTGTCATTTTAATAACCAAAAGCATTACTGGTCCTTCTTTTTCTAAGGAGTATCTTATACTGGGTTGAATTACTACTTGCTACCCCTTCCTTAATTCACGTCTTTTGCCAGAACCTTCATGATCTTCTTTAGAAATAGGCTCATTACAAGTATAACTAATAAGGATGAAGTGTAGTAGGGTAGGCCCTTAATTAAGTATGATAGGTGTCTTTATATAAAGAGGAGAAAAGATGGAGACAGAGAGAGACATGAGGAGAACACCATGGGATGGCACAGGCAGAGACTAGATTGATACAAGAGCAATTCAAGAATTTCAAGGATTGATGGTCATCACCAGAAGTTAGGAAGAATTCTACCTAGAGTCTCAGAGAGAGTATGGCATTGCTAACACCTGATTTCAGTCTTCTAGTCTCCAGAACTGAGAGGCAATCAATTTCAACTGTGTTCAGCCACCCAATTTGTGGTTCTTTGTAATGGCAACCTTAGAAAATTAACATTCCTGCATTTAAACCTAAAGAGATCCTCAAACTGAATCCTGCAGTCGAACCTGCAAGTATTCTAGGCAAGCTGATGACACCTTGCTTCCTTGATGCTCTTCCCTTTGTGTTAGTTCATTGTTTTTGTTGCTTCTAGATATCTTCACTGTATTTAAAAGTTTTGACTTTTGCATTTCTTTCACCATTTCAAGTATGTAGTAAAGGAATTTTTGGTTGCTTCCTTCTCCATCTGACCTAACACCAGTTCTTCCTCTACTCTTTAGTCTTAGTTGTTGCTACTCTTGAAACTCTAATGTTGTTGTATAAATAAAGCTGTCACTTATAATGTCTAAAACGTTTGTAGCTTTGTTAATTT